AAAATTTGGAATTATAAACGAGCCGAACACGAACAACACTATGTTCGCTCGTGTTCGGCTCATTTTAGTTCAAAATAATAATAATAAAAAATTATATCATTATTTATATAATAATATATTACATATATTATTTATATGATAATATATTATATATATTTATATCTAACTCTTAGATTAGATAATGGTGTTTGAAATGGCATTAATTTAAATCAATTTATTTTAGAGGGGGGAGAGAGAGAGAAATGGGCTTCAATTTATTGATAGAAGAATATTAATGAACAAATTGAACCAATCTATTTGTTGAATTACGTTCGTAAATATGCTTATTTATTATGTAGCAAATAGCTCACTATAAATTTGATAACTTGTACATCTTAAAAACATAATTTATATATATTCACATACCTAAATTTTGGTTGCATTGAAGTTAATATATATATATATATATATATATATAATAGTCTCACAAATTTACATACAGCGACATGAGAAAAATTTAATAAATGTTATAACTGATTTTTTATATTTCTATTCAATAAAATCTTTAAGGGGCATTTACATACATACCACCTAATTCTTTGACAGTTTTGAACCATACTACAAGATGCATGATTTATTACATGAATTAGCACAATCTATTTCTACAAAAGAATGCTTCAGAGTAGTTGTGGGGGACAAAGTTCATAATCTATAAAAATTTTAAGTGGAATTCGTTGTGATCCCGAGCAATTGCGGAAAGAGAAACCTCTTGGAATTGTCTTTAGATTGGGGTGACAGTGAGCTAGGAAGTCAAATCCCAATCTTGCATGAGCAGGTGCTTGCAAATCTTCAACCACAAAACAATTTAAAAAAACTGTGCATACATGCATATATGGGCGCAAGATCTGCAACATGGATGGACAATGCCAATTTGATCTCCAATCTAAACTTCATCTATCTGGATAAGTGTTTGGAGCGGGAAACTCTTCCTCCTTTTGGGCAGCTTCCCTTCCTCAAGGTTTTGCGCCTTCAAAACATGCCAAAAGCAAAGCGTCTTAATCACAAATTTCAAGGGAAAGCCAAGCATTGTGTGTTTCCATCTTTGCAGGAGCTACATATTGGTAAATTAGATGCACTGGAGGTTTTCTTTGATACAGTAGGAGCAGCAGAAGATGACGGGTTCTTTCCTTGCTTAACTAAGCTTTACCTCATAGATTGCCCAAATTTGCAACAGTTTTCCTTTTTACCTCCTAAGCTGAAAACATTAACGATCAGTAATATTGGGTGGAAAGCTTTGAACTGGAAACAAGTCACTATCAACTGTTGCAACATTTAAAAAAAATTTCCTCTTTGCTCATTAAAAATCTTTCATTGTCCAAACCTGACATCTCTTCCTCTAGCTGATGAGATAGTAAGACTTGAAGCACTGAGAAACTTGACAATTCAGAATTGCCCCGCTCTGATCTCTCTCAATGGACTGCAAGAAGCGAAGTTCATTGAGAATTTCTCGCTCATATTGGGCAATCTTAGTATAACCGACCCATCTGTGTTGCTAATGGAGCCATTGAGAAGTATCACCTCCTTGGAATAGCTGACAATTGAGGATAATGATGAGGTGGCTGCATTTCCATTTGAGATGGAACGGTGGTTTCTGCAAGTTAGCTTGTCACTTTGTGAGTTATATTTAAGAAGGTTCAAATGCCTGCAGTCTCTCCCTTCCTCCATGGAAAGCCTCTCTTCACTTAAGACTCTACGTGTGGATATGGCCCCTCTACTCCAGCTGTTGCCGAACATTCCCACCTCTCTGGAACAGTTAATGCTTCGAGAACTCGAATCCTTGCAGTGCCTTCCATATTCTTTGTCGACCATCTCACCCCTCAAGCAGCTACGTTTAGGTGGAATTCCGCTCCTCAAATCATCGCCAGACCTCCCTCCCTCTTTGTTGGAGTTGTATCTACATGATCTTGATCAACTGGGTTGCCTGCCTTTTTCCCTTGCAAGACTTTCCTCTCTCCAAAAACTTGAAATCATAAAGGTTTCTAAACTGCGAGAACTACCAGACCTCCCTCCCTCTTTGTTTAAGTTGTTTCTATATGATCTCAATCAACTGGATTGCCTGCCTTCTTCGCTTGCTAGCCTATCTTCTCTCAAACAACTTTACATCATAAAATTTAAATCTCTTATACATATATATATATATATATATATATATATATATATTAGAGCTAGCTTATTTATGAATATTTGTGCAATTCATGGAATTCTAAATCAATCCCTTCCCATGGGTATGTGAGGACTTGCTATTTGGTTAGATTCATGTTCTGTTATAGTGTTATGTGGGATGCTTATTGTAATATGCAATGACAGTTCTTTTTTTTCTTTTTTTTTTGTGAAGAATTATTTGATTGTGTTGTATTTTGATGATTGTGAAGCAGAGAAGAGACAGAGTGAGATGGAAGGAGGAATGTGTGTTTACTTTGGGAGATTAGCAGGTGCTTTTATTGTAAAAGCTATAAATTTTTAACAATTCAAGCCTAAAAGAATCCCAAGAGCTCATTTGGACCTCACCTCACATCATTTCCTCGAAATATTTATTTTCACATTAAGGGCCCGTTTGTGGCAGCTTATATGGTGCTGTGGAATTTTGAAAATGTACTTGGCCTATTTGGGTAAACTACGTTTTGACAGCTTATGCGTTTTCAAAATACTGAAAATAGCGTTTTCACACCGTAACAACTATCTAGATGTGGCGGCAACTTTCTGGCAGCGGTTTTTTTTTTTTTTTTAAAATAAAAATTTATAATAGATACTGCAACTAGTTTATCAATAAATTATTTTTAATCAATTTATCAACAGATTATTCAATAAACTGTAGCTGTCCCAAATAGACCCTAAATTTCATAAATTAATCTACAAGCTTAACCAATATATATATTAATAAATATTCTAACTAAATCATTCTATTTCTATTCAACCCACACTTTAAGGGAGGAATACTTTAAAGGGGGATTTCATACATACCAACTAATTATTATGCATTTATATATCTAACATTTAAGCTTTAATTTTACACTCGTACCTTTAAGGTTACATATTTACACAAATAAGAAGTGAGTGGTATGTATGTAAATCTTCGCTCCAAACCATCGCCCACCACTCATCCCTGATCTTTCTCTTGACCGACTATCTTCTCTTCTTCACTTCCACAGCCATGGCAGACTGGCTTGTTGGTCCAGTCGTGGATAGGATCATCAACGCTTGCTCTGATTACCTGCAAGATCAATTCAGATGGCAGACAGGCATGAAGGAGGAGCTTGAAAGGCTGCGAGTGAACCACCCTAAGATCCAAGCTGTCGTCTCTGCTTTTTCCACTCAAGCAGACATCTCAGATCAAAATCCGGCGCTCAACGACTGGATATGGCTGCTTAGAGATGCCATCGATGAGGCGGATGATTTGCTCGATGAGTTGGAGTACATGAAGCTTAAAAAACAGCTGATCAAAAATAAGAAGCGACGAAAGGTGCGTTTGGCCATTAGCTTTTTAAAGAGAACAGGACAACGTGCTCTCAAAATTGATCCCTACTTGAAGAGACTGACGGAGGTTGTGCAGAAACTCGATAAAGTTTCAGCTGAGGTTGGCACTTTCCTTCATCTTGCAGAAAACGCCAAGCAGCAGCAGCAGAAGCAGGAGCTTGAGTTGTACAAAACTCGTGAAACAGGATCCTTGCCTAAAAATGACCTCGTCGGTCGAGGCAAGGATATGGAATTTGTTATGCAGTGGTTGAGGAATCCATCAAATGAAGATCCAACTCATATTACTTTGTACAAGAACATTTCTCTTTTATCTATAGTGGGTCATGGTGGTATGGGTAAGACGGCTCTCTTACAACATGTCTATCAAGATCTGAAAGAGGAATTTGATCTTAAAATGTGGGTTTGTGTTTCCAACAACTTTGAAGTGAAAAAAGTCATAGCAGATATGTTGGAATGTCTTAAAATGAAGAAGCCTGATGTAGAGTCACTTGATGCGCTTCAAAGAAGTCTTAAATCTGAGGTGATGTCCAAGAAGTTCTTACTTGTGCTTGATGATGTTTGGGAGGAGGAGCAGGAGAGTGATAAAAGCAAATGGGAGAATGTGTTCTCCCCTTTAGCTTATGGAACTTTGGGAAGTAAGATTTTGGTAACAACTCGGATGGATTCAGTTGCGACGGTGATTGCAAAGGTGATAAAAAAGAAGAAGAAAACATTGAGATTAAAGGGCTTGGGGGATGATGAAAGTTTGCAGCTTCTCAACATCCACGCATTTGCTGATGTAGAAAACCTTGATAATCATAAACAATTAAGAAGCATTGCTAGAGAGATTGTTAAAACTCTCTCAGGGTCTCCTTTGGCAATTAAAGTTGTTGGTGGTGTTCTGAGTTCTAGCTTGAATGTGAGTCATTGGATAAGAGTTTTAAACAGTGATATTGGAAGTGCTAGCCTTGGTCAGAGCAACATCATGCACATCTTAAGATTGAGCTACAAATTCCTCCCAAGACCTTTACAGAATTGTTTCACATTTTGTAGCATATTTCCGCAAGATCATAACTTTATTAGAGATGATTTAGTCAAAATGTGGATTTCATTGGGTTTCATTCAGACACCTTCAATTTCAGGAGAGACCATGGAAGATATCGGAGGCAAGTGTTTTGATATTTTGGTCAAAAAATCTTTCTTTGACAATTTTGAACCATATTACAAGATGCATGATTTTTTACATGAATTAGCACAATCTATTTCTGCACAAGAATGCTTCAGAGTTGTGGGGGATAAAGAACCTTTTAGAATTCTGAAAACTATTCGACATTTATTTGTTGAAACTTCCAATATAGAAGTATTGAGAAAGATTATTGAGTTTAAAAATTTGCATTCACTTTTTTTGAGATACCGGGGAGATGATCAAGATTTTATTCAAATACTTACTGAGCTTTTCAAATCATTGAGAAGGATTCGGTTGATGTTCATATATCATATGGATCTCAAATTGATACCTGAGGAGATTGCAAATTTGATACATCTCAGATACTTGAATGTACGTTATACTGATATCACTCGACTGCCAAGAACTCTAAACAATCTTCATCACTTACAGTTCATAATCTATAAAAATTTTAAGTGGAACCTTTGTAATGATCGCAGAAAATTGCAGAAAGCCTTGTCTGAGATGCCTGGAATTGGAATGTTGAAGTCTCTTCGAGAACTGGATTGGTTCTCTGTTAAGAATGAGAAGGGTTTTAAAATTGGGGAGCTGGAACATTTGAATGAGCTTCGCAGATTAAGAATCAGTTCTCTTGAAAGTGTGAAGGATGCTAAAGAAGCATGCATTGCCAAATTATGTGAAAAGAGAAACCTAACAGATTTGTGGTTAGTCTGGGGTGATGAAAGTAAAACCTTGAGGAACACTTTAGATACTGTCTTAGATGAGGAAGTGCTCGAAAACCTTCAACCACACAACAAACTAGAGCATCTACGCATATATGCATACATGGGTGCAAAGTCTGCACGGTGGATGGATAATGCCAATTATATCTTCAATCTAAAATTCATTGAGTTGTCTAGATGTTTGGAGTGGGAAACTCTTCCACCTTTTGAGCAGCTTCCCTTTCTTAAGACTCTGTTCCTTCATGACATGCCAAAAGCAAAGTGTTTTTATAATAAATTTCATGGGAATGGTAAGGCTTGTGTTTTTCCATCACTAGAGCGGCTAGATATTACGAAATTAGAAGCATTAGAGCATTGATTTGATGCAACAGAAGATGCTTGGCCTTTTCCTTGCTTACATATACTCAGGCTCAAAGACTGCCCAAATTTGCAGGAGTTGTCCTCTAGACCTCCAAATCTTTGGAACTTGGAGATAGATAACGTTGGGTGGAAAGCTTTTAACTGGCTACCAGGTATTGATGACCGTTGTCGCTACATTTCTATTAAAAATTGCAGCAATTTTAACTATATTAGACAACAGAAGAATTCAGAGACATTCAAGAAAATAATCAACAAAGTCATTGTAAATGATCTGTCTGTGTTGCTAATGGAGCCATTGAGAAGTATCACCTCCTTTGAAGAGCTTTCCATTGAGGAAAATGATGACCTGATTTCATTTACAATTGAAGCAGAGCAATGGTTTCTACAATTTAGCTTGTCCCTTCTTGAGTTGAACTTTAGAAGGCTCAAATCCCTTCAGTCTCTCCCTTCATCCTTGCCAAGACTCTCTTCACTTCAGGTTCTGTGTATTCAAGAGGCTCCTCAGCTCCAGCAACTGTCGAACATTCCCGGCTCTTTGGAACGATTAGACCTTGAGAAGCTCGAATCTTTGCTGTGCCTGCAATCTTTATCAGTCATAAATGACCTCGTCGGTCGAGGCAA